GAAGTGTACCTCTGGTGCAAATTACTGACCTCTGTCATCATTTTAAGTGGGGGAACTTGCACAATCGGTGGCTGACTAAATACTTTTTTGCCCCACTGTAGATGAGGCCATATTTAGATTATATTTGCACAGTCACAATGCTTAAATACTGTATTTTTGGACCCATTTATCAAGGTACTTGTCTTGATACTTTAACCTGTAACAAATGCACTGGCATTTACAGAGAAATGTTAAAGCTGCTGGAAATGTTACTCAGAGCACAGAGTATCCCCTACCATTGAAAAGCAAGGGTACATAGGTAACAGACGCAAGTCCGCTTCTATGAATACATCCACTCAAAAAGGTTATGCTAATGACTACCAATGGAGCCAAAGGCCATTACACAGCTATGCAAACAATGATAGCATTGAAGCTACAGCCAACAGTTGTTATTTATATTAGCCAGCAAAGCTAAGAGAGGTTACATAAAGATAACTTAAATGCAGCAACATCAGGAACACAAATGAATATTAGCGACAGTTTAAATGTCATGTTATGTAGTTAACAGAGAGAAAACACCTACGCTTGCTAATTTTCATTGAGAGAAAAGGTCTGAGATACTCTTAAAAGCCATAGCCAGTTATATTATTTGTATATTGGCTTAAATATCTACTGAACTAATCCAAAATGACTCAGGGTTGCTTTACTCAGAAGATGGTAATTGCTGCTTGTCTGTCACATGTAAACACCACTTTTTCCCGCGCCATGATGCATTTAACACGCCATTTTTCATCACGTCAGACAGATTGGCAATAGGACAACGAGGCCTGGCACAGCACCACCAGTATGTTTCGTGTGAAGGGAAAGGCCAGAGCATTTGTCTGATTTGGACGAGCCGAGGTATGCTGGGAGGAGCAGATGTACAGAGAGCAGCTCGGTGACACCAGGAAGAATCCAAACGGAAAGCTTTGCCATGCCAAGCTATTGGGCCGAACATAATATATTCACCCCAGAAACAGAGCCCTGACTTCAGGCCGAATAACACAGAGATTCATTAGACTTGTTTCAAATTTCATTTGGTACGTCTTTCCAATAGGAGAGCAAAAGATAGAAACTTCTAGCTTATGTGACAGATGTATGAAGTTATAGTGTGCATATGTCCAAACACTGTCCATGGTCACTCCAGTTAAACCAGATTTACCTGAGCAAGCCAGTAGGGTAATTTACCAATTGTGTTTATTACCATTAAGCATGAGTACTGGAACCAGTATTAAATAGGCACACACAGACACCTAGACAAAAAGGTACAGCTATTGATATTTATGCAATGTTAATATATGCGATACCAACATAGCTGACATTTTAAAATTCCTAAGTGTCACTGGTAATGACACTTAGGGTCAAGGGATTATTCTTGATGTTGCCATGTTTCTCTGTGCTCTACTGTCATGGCTGACAGAGCAAAATGTTCAAAGGTTTGTGCTCACTTTACTGTATTTAATGAAAAATGGAGCTCAGTGTGATATTCCGCATGTAAAAGGTTAGATGCTCTGTAAAAACCCTGACACATATACAAATCTGACTTTAAACTAAATTTGAATCAGTGCAGTGTAGTTGGCTGCTTTAGGTCTGATGCTGATGAGATTTGCCAAACTGTTAAAGCAACTGTTTCAACCTCGAGTCAAGATGAGACTGTTTTGATGAAGTTAGGATACAGTTAACATTCCTTTTTTAAAGCGTATTCAAATGATCTTATCCTTTGTTTTTTGGTTTTGTTTTGGGGGGTTTTCAGAAAACCAACAGCCCCAGCTTACACAAAGCCGGTGGACTATGTAATCAGACTCTATGCATAAAAATTGCCACTTTCCATATATCATTAGATTTGGAAGAGGCAGTAGCTATACCCTCTCTGTTGAGCAACAACACCTGCAGGTAAGAACCATAACAAATTCAGTTTGTTTGGGTTTTTTGGACATTTTCTGGAATGCACTAAAGGTTACGACATCCGATTTCTGAGGAATCTCGATCACAGCACTAGCGAGTTGGATCATAGCATGAGCTGAGAAAGTTAAATTGCAATACTTTGAGAACTTTAGGGGGATTATCCCAGCCCTTGACCCTGGAGGAACATTAATAAACACCAGCACATCTGCTTAGTAGGAAATGAAAAACATCAGTGACTATAACCACCATCATGTCTTTATTTTATAGTAAAATGTGGAGAGTAGCATCGATAGGAGTATTTATCAAGTGAGGAAGTAATATCTGTCACTATAATTACTATAGTTAAACGTGAGGCTTCACTATAATTAAATGTGAGATTGTGATTCAAAAACCTTCATCAGGCTGTGTGTTGCTGTGAATAATGCTTTGACCTGTCGTTGTGTGCATTAAATGTGCTGCCAGGTAAGCTGGATGAGTAATGGCACACCTAGGGAAACATTTCTGCCGGCCTCCATCCTTCTTATTACTGATGCACTTGCAAAAACAAACCCTGCAGCAATAAACATAGTGAAATTCATTCTGTTATAAACAATAGTGTCAAACTAGGCAATGATGTGGTTACACAATCACCTGGGACATTTCATTAAGCTCGTGAGCATTAAAAAGAAGTGAAGTGATGACCTGGAGGACTGAGAACCTTCACAGACATATTAAAAAGAAGTGATTACACAGAAACATAAGCCCAAAGCATTTATCAGCAACCCCTGTTCTTTCCTATCATCCACAACCAAAAGCTCAATCCAGCCAGGCAGTGGGCTCCATCTGACTGACCGTAGCAAAGAGCAGGGAAGCACATGGTGACCTACCATCCTGGAGAGGACGAAGAAAAGCAACATACCGAGGCTGCCGGGCCAAGCACAGAGCACAAGAGCTTTATATGTTTCCCAACCATGAAAGAAATCCACAATAGCTTGATAGCTACGTGGTAACAGCAGATCGTTCCAACCAGTTCCATGGATCAGTTTTGGAAAGGCGGAAGAGCAAAGCTCATATCCAATCATATTCATTTCTAACAGCCTTTTTATTCAGGTTTAAAACTGACGCTGGCTGGTCAAGTGAGATGACATGACTGAAAAACTCTGCTTTCCCTGTCAGCTGCTCAATCCCTCATAACGTTATGTTCACTTGATGGGAAGCTTTCATTGCACTTGCAGTGACCTAACATTTTCTACTAGCATGATCATAAATGGTAAATAAAATGGTAAATGGCCTGTATTTGTATAGCGCTTTACTTAGTCCCTAAGGACCCCAAAGCGCTTTACACGTTCAGTCATCCACACATTCACACACTGGTGATGGCAAGCTGCATTGTAGCCACAGCTGCCCTGGGGCGCACTGACAGAGGCGAGGCTGCCGAACACTGGCGCCACCGGGCCCTCTGACCACCACCAGTAGGCAACGGGTCAAGTGTCTTGCCCAAGGACACAACGACCGAGACTGTCCAAGCCGTTGAATTGAAACATTGAATGAGTTGAAAGAAAACAGCAGCGCTACTGACAGTTCAGCCTATCCTTAACAACTCACTTGAGTATCAGTGTCATAAATCAGAAGTGAGCTTGTCTAACTTTTCAACTTGTATCAGACTCCTTTCATTAAGTTTTAAAGCTTCTTCCATAGTAAATAAAGCTGGACGATTCTCACTTGACATTGACACCTGAGGTAAACGGTGGACTGACTCTGGGGCAGATCCAGGCCAAACAGCAGCAGAAACACGCCAGCTGGCGCTATGGAGTATGACATGTTTATAATGTTTTGATCTCTCTTGGGTAAAAATTAAACATGTTTGTCCTGTAGCAGCCACTGTAGCTAGGGTTATGCACTTGAAGTGTGAGATGTAAGATAACCGAAGCCAGTTGACTGCAATCTACTGAAATGTAATTGAAACATTTTACACACTGAAAACTAAAACAGAAGACTTAATAAAGCAGGAACACAATGTCCACTTTAAAGTTGCTTGAAGAAATGAGCTTGAAAGAAATTATAGTTAGGAAGCAAAACAGGGAATTCAATATACTTGTACTAAAGGGATTTCTACCAATCAGAACCATATATTTCAAATGTAATTCACAAATCCACTTTCTCATTCACTTATTCAATTTAAGGTTACAGGGTGCCGAGTCTAACACAGCTTTCATACAGTGAAACGTATTTTACATCCTAAACAAGCTGCCAGTTCAATGCAAGGCCAATCCAGAGACACAGACAATCATTCGTGCTTACAGTCACACCTATGGCCAATTTAGAATCACTAATTAATCTAACAAGCATGTTTTTGGACTGTGGGATGAGCCTGGAGTACCCACAGAGAACCCATGCAGTCACACGAAGAACATCTCCACACAGAAAGGCCCCAGCCGGCTGATGATGTGAACCCAGGACTTTCTTGCTATGTGGGAAATCAGCTACGAGTGGTTCTAAGTACTCCCCCACTAATTCAATCTTCCTAAAAATACACTTTTACCTGTTGATGAATTCAGTTCATATAGTAGCACAGGATTTTTAAAAATCTAAATATAACCCTGAAGATGTTTTTAAACACCCGCAGAGAGAAAGAAATACCTGAAATCTTTCAGCGACTGGCTGTGTACAAAAAGGCTTGGACTCACTGATTAGATGCTTCTCAACATGTGGGTTTCTTAAAATTATCCTGACCATTAAAAGCAACTAAGTGGCCCAAATCAGCTTTCAGGAGTTACAGTATTAAAACCACATGCATTAAGATGGCATGGGTCATTTATGGGTGGTAAAGGAGGAAACGCTGTTTCCCAGTAAACTCATTACGAATTGTATCAAGCCAAACACAGGAAGCACAGAGGATCCCAGTGCTCGGCTATCTAATCAAGGACTTGAAATGGACTGTGATGGGATATTGGACGCCGGTCAGCAGACTGCTACAGCAGTGTGAAAATCAATCGATCATATAAGGGAACAAAACAAACTGGACAGGAATCTGTTCCCTGGAACGACAGGCTGATGTATTACAAATAAATCTATGGATGGGGCTCAGACCACTTTACCCCAAACAAATCACAGAGTTTACAGGAGGATAGGTCCCATGCAAATGTACTTCAAGTCTGGGCAATGAAAGCAGCACAAACAAGCAATAATAATGACTTAATATAATAATGCAGATGTTGAAGTTTATTTCCTCCAAGCAGCTCAGATGACACTGCTGAGTTAAATGTTTTAAGCAGAGCCTGATTACTGGCAGTAATTTGGAAAGGAAGACGTTTTGCGTAGGGACCTGAATTTCTTCCACATTCTGCATGCACTTGAAATACATGAAATAAACAAAAGCATTTTAATGCGTGTCAGAAAAGGGGGGGAAGCAGAAATTTGACACCCTATGCTACCAGCGCACTTGTTTCTCTTCTCGCTCTGGCTCCTTCTTCACGTTCCTAATCTCCAGGAGCTCTACTGTATCCTGTTGTTTCTCTGGGCATTAGAGAACAATCAATTCCAATCTCAGGTTTCTAATGAAGCCTCCCATTGAGCCATACAGGTCTATTAATGGCATGAATAACTTATTGATGGCTCTTCTGGACCTGTGCTATTACAGTATTATGCTCCAATGCAGCCGTATTGACGTTAAAGCTCCCGAACATTTTTTTTTTTTAAAATAGAGCCGATGCTGCACCTGTTCAGGAGGCAGACAAGTGGAACTATTCCATCCAATTTAAAGAAGATGTGGAAACAGAGGCCAACAGCCTAAAATAACTGTCTTGAATTTTGCTATGCTTCACACTTAAACATGTACATGTATCTGGCCTTTTACACTTAAAGTGACACATTTACAGCACTAAAATAACCAACCATACCCAACCTTAAACCTGGAGAGCGATATCAGTAAAATGGAGATGGGGGGCACTATCAAGAGAATCAGGTCAAATGATTTTCTTCAGCTCTTACATACCACGCACCAGGAAACGATCTGTTTCATATGCATTTGCACTTCTGCAAATACTCCGTGGTCTAAGCAAGGAAGCTGCTTTAATAAGGGTGTGTATAATGCCAAGTACAGGCCCACCACTTGTGAGCACTAAGTGCCCCAGACTACTTGCAAATCACAGCAGTCTCACAGAGATTCATACTCCAGAGGTCAAACACTGATTGATGACATGCACTGTCAGGTATGTCCCAGAAATGTTCAGCTCTGGAAGCATGTGTCAAACTATTTTGTGACTGATTGAGACATGCATCCTGGCCTTGCTGAAGAGCACATTTGGCGACAAAGATTCTGTAGTAAAGGTAGAAAGATTGCTCTTGTTTGCTAAAATCAGAGCAGCCATGTTAGCGAGTCGACTACTCACCGTAAGCCGTCATGGTTCCAACATACGGACCATCCATGACACTTTGGTTCTCCTCAGCCAGTGCTTTGATGTAGCGCTTGCTAAGGTCGAGGATCTGCTGACGCAGCACGGCACTGTTCTCGTGGCTGGCTCGCTGCTGGATGGTGAAATGCAGCAGCATCATGCCCCAGATGAAGCCGAAGCTGACCAGGAAGAAGCCCAGCTTCTGAGAGGACAGTTTCCACAGGAAAGGTGTAGCCATGCTGACAGGACAGAGACTTGGAAGAGCTGGACTGACTTTGACTGGACAGGGGGAAAGATAAAGAGTTGGGCAAGAGGAATCAGGAGGGCAGGCGAGGCATATCTGTGTCAGTTGGAGCGACTCCGGCAGTTTTTGGAGGGTGGCATGCAGCTCGTCACCGTCATGATTTCCTTCTTTGATCCACCCTCACCGCTCAGTAACATCTCAGGGGGCAGAGTCCAACCTGCTGCAGAAAACACAAACAGAGAGGAAGGAAAGATCAGGAGTTAGGTAGTTGCTTTGCTAAACTCAGATAACAAGGGAGTTGCCTTCCCTACCCCAATCCCACATGACCATGATTAATTTAAAACACTGATAACCAAGAGAGGTTTGGCAGTTTGAGATATAACTTACAGTAAACTGAGGTGGGGTCCTATTACAAGCATGCACAACATACACACACTCAGCCACATGCCCATATGTAACTAGCATGGAAATACTTCACTGTAAGTGAAGATGCAAAGTTTACCAAAGTAAACAACAAAACTACTTCAATCACCCTCACCCAGATAAACATGAAGATTTTAAAAAAGCCAACAAAGGCAAAGTAGCTAAAGTGTTAGCTAAACCTATCCCGAGCTCAGAGCCAGCAGCCTCAGTATGAGCCTCGGTATTAGCAGCGAAAAGATTAAAGCAGATAATGAGCAAAACTGTGGAGATGACAACGAGAAAATGGCCAATGTCCTGTTATTTGTTAAAGTTAAAAACTTAGTGAAAAATGATGCAACAACACAACATTTGTTTTTTTGTGCACCGCAACTCCTATTCAGTTAAATATTTGTAGTTGATTCAAGTAACAGACCACTTCAGTTGTTTCAGTAACGTCCTGGAGTTTTGAGGTAACTATGAAGTTTAAGGCATGCAATTTAGTTGAACAAATTCTTGAAAATGAGTAACTGGGTGGAGGTGCTTAATGTTAGTGAAGCGTACTTCTCCTCCACTATTAGTTTGAGAAGATCAACCTGTTTCTAACTGCAGCAGGCCACACACAACGGAGCCGGAGCACACCCAGCTGAAGGCTGCTGTGCTCAGTGTGTGGAGGCTCATTTAACGTGGCATGGTAACACACCAAATTCGACTAGTAAAAAAAAAAAAAAACAACAGAAAAAAAAGGAAAAAAGAAGACAAAGAAATGACTTTAATGCTTCTGCGACTCTTGAAACAGAAGCAGTCTTGTTTAATCCAGATAGTATCGTGTGTGACTGATGTTGCTGTGTGAATGTTTATGCAAAAGGGTGTATACTGTCCCTGAAATAAAAACATTTGAATAGCTTACAATTTATCTTCCTCGCTGACAGGTGAGAACACAAACAGAATTTTAAACCCTTTCACTTTTTGTCATTGCACTCTCATGTTCGCAACACGTTTAGAGAGGGGCTCAGACTTGGTCTGCGTGTGGGGTCGGACAGCAGTACGTGAGTTTGAGGCGTACAGGTAAACACAGTAAGGCGAGACAAGCTGAGCTACAATTAATTCATCAGTTAATACGGGGCCTGGGTTTCACTAACATTTAAATTATTAATCAACCAGTTGTTTAATAATTGTCTAAAACTTCCAACAGTCTGAGACAGTCTTGCCTTTTCAGCAGCTGTTTGTGGTGCTGTACTAAATGAACTACACTTTTTTTTAAGCTCAGTTGTTGATATTCGTTTAAAAAAAAGAAAAAGAAAGAAAAAAGTCTACTATTCAGAATAAATTCACACCTGAGTTTGGGGGACACAGACTTTGAATCTTTTCAAGTCACAGGAAAAGAGAGTTTTTAGAACTATTTCTTCTCGTTTTAAGTTTTTAGAGCATGCCCGATGAAGAATATCAAAAGCCCATCACTGAAATCCAGTCAGCAGAAGTTGTACACATGTGGCATCGTACCTTGATGAATAGCTGGAATGCAGGTTTGCACATAGCCCGTGTAATCTGTCCAGTCAGCAGCCTGTATATGCTTCTTGCATCAAACCGCCCTTCTGCTGTGCTTGTAGTATCGCTCATTTTGTGAGATAACCTGCAGTGAGATTGCGTGACGACTTGCGTGACGTGTTTTCCTGGGCGTCGTGTACCTGGAGTCTAGTTTTGAGCGATGCTTGTAACTATACATTTTAAGATGCAAGTTGTAATGGCTGCTATTTTCTTTGCGATTATTTATTACGCGGCGTGCTGCTGGGAAAAGCCTGTTTTAACGTTTGAGTCTAAGGTTTATTTGGAGCACCTGACGACTCTTCTTTGCTTCTCATCCGTAAACTCTCTCCACACTCTTTCACGTGATTCTTGTGTATGTGGTAGAACAGGTTTGCTGTGTTTGAGTCTGATATGGGGTCCAGTTTCCTGCATAATTTCCATAGTACAATCTTCTGGTCCGTGTCAGACTTTTCATAACCAAACCATGTCCATGCTACAGAGGGAGCCCCTCGTTTAGGAATAAGGTCCTGGATTTGTTTTGACTGGTCTTTCTGTTTGCCATCATCTCAGTTTATTTTAAAAAATCTCAACAGGATCTTCAGCTTTATTGTGAAAGGTTTATGTGGAAAATAAACAAGCGGATGACGGAGCCACACGCTGGTTTTACCGTCGTTGTTGCTAACGACAATGCATAAAAACAGTCACTTGACCATCAGTAGTGTAGATATTTTAAATATAAGAGAAAGGGAGAACTTTAAGAAATTAATATAGCCACTAAAGCGACCATCAAAACCATGAAGAAATATTGCCGTGAACAGTTTATTTTGCGACACCATGAAACAAACGAAAGCGTAAAATGAAACAATAGACGTTTTCATATCGTCATCCGATATATATCGTTATATTGAATAGCTCTACACCGAAGCCATATGCTGAGTTATATTAAAGAAAAGATAACAGAATGGAGCTATAATAAGAATAACAGGTCACCTTTAACCTGCAACTCCCGCGCTAATCTTAGCAGAATATACTTGATGAGAGTACTGAATACCCCGATTATTATTTACAGCAACAGGAAATAACGTTTATCAGAAACACACATCATTAATATTAATCTATGCTGGTGCCTGTGTGTGCTGTAAACAAGCAGCTACCAGATATCTTATTAACCAGCATTTGCGTGCATGCCTGACCACATGAATGAAACCGAAACAAACATCCCTTTTCTGATTATAACGCATTGTTCTGTTCTCTGCCGTGCGATCAGCTTCTTGTAGAGAAAACCTCACCAGGCTAATCAGCATAAACATTCAACTCTAATTTGCTGCACTCCCTGGCTTTATAGCTAGCTGAACATAACTGCGCCATTATCAGCAAATTTGGCTTTAACCATCAAGCTTTTGCCCATAATGTAAAATGAGGCTGCCCTGCAGCACTTTTTGGAGCTGTTAAATAGTTCAACAAGTATTAACTGACGACCTCTAGGCAATTTCTGCTAAGCTAAATAAATGCCTCTGGCTTTAAGCATTATGCCACAGCAACAACAACATAAAAAAACCCCAAAAAAACAAACAAACAAAAAAAAACTTTACAGCACGCAGTCAAGCCAAAAGAAAAAAGATGTGATGTCATCTGCATTCAGCCGCTGCTGCTGTAAACGAGGGTAAGTGTGAGGAGAGGATTTCTGCAGCCTTGCTTCTGAACTGCGTCTTTCTTAGACCCTTTTAGAGCAGCTCTAACCAGGTCAAAACCACAGCCGCTTGCATGAATGCAACACTTTGAAAAACCCCAATACTCTTAACTACAACACCACCTGCTCCTGCCTATATCAGAATTACTGAATTTGTTGAACATTTACAGAGGAATATTCGTCCTGGATCTAAAGCACAGCAAAGATGGATACGCCAGCAATTAAGTTCCGAAAGGAAATCATCAGCACCTTCCCAAGAAACACAAAAGGCAGCCACACAAAGGCTCTTTTCACCTTCCATCCATCAGCTTCATAAATAGGTCAGAGACAGCTGCGAGCAGCTTCCAGCAGGGCTGGAATCTCACTGCAGGTTATGACACACCATAAATGTTCAGTCATTTAGGACGAAGGCCTGTTTTTGCTTTTTGCGTGCACAGAAATGGTTTTATACATTTGTACAAATATGACATTGTCAGAAATTAAGCCAATTCTGTATTCTGTCTTTCGGACATTTACTCGTCCAATTTGCTTTGTGATGTGTGCATAACGGGAACGACAATTAAAAAAAAGGCAAGAAAGAAAAATCTCGGTACTTCACTGTGAATTCATAAGACAAGCCTTTGGCAGCAGCGCTGGCAAATCTGCAGTGCTGATAACATCGGATGTCTCTCGCTGCTCGGGACTCTGTTGGAGGAGGGCACGAAAAAAGGCTGGCAGTGCTCTCTAGTTGGGCGCTGACAAGCATGGGAAGCTTTGGGGCTGTTTATCAGAAAGGTACGCTGCTCAGACAACCCCGTGGTACATCGCTGTAAGATGCACGAGCCAAAACCTACACAGAACACTGACTCAACCGCTTCGGTTTCTGAAAACACACATAGTCCCAGTTGGTGCCAGCTCTCTCGTCTGACCTGATTTCCTGCATCTATCCATCTTATTTAACTCTGAAATCCATAACCCCTTTGTTAGGAGGCTTTCTGATGTCCTGTGATCCCTAGAGAAAGGAGCAATGCAACCATTCAGCCCCCAGTGGTGCATATATTGCCTCTCAGTTGCCTTCTGGTTTCTAATTCAGGATCTTAATTAGTCTGGCAGGGAGCCCCCTGGCTCTCACCAGCAACAGCCCACTGAAACTCGGTGTGATGACAGCCGGCTACGGTAGCAGAAAATATGATCCGTGGCAACTTGAGATGATGACATAACTACTTGCTGAATGGCCATTTCATTGTTGGAAGAAATGGCAGTGCATCAAACTCTGAAGGTTCAAGAGGCGACGGTAAAGATAAAAACAACTGAATCATTCAGTTCTGACAGAAATCAGTGTCCTCCCAGAGCAGTGGCAAAGTTCTTTATCCTGCTGGGACAAAAGCAGTGAAATTTAAGCTTCAGCTGTTGAGCTTAAAGCAGTGTGGATTAACCCTATGTGCTCCGGGTAGACCTGGCACTGATATTAGACTTTCAAATGCAGTTTCTGTGGTGGCATTTCTGCATAGCTGCAACAATAGCAGCAAGTTTCACATCGACAGAGAGGGTGAACTGTAACAGCTAAGAGTATGATGGTGCCGATGACAGAAAACAAGCATCCAAGGCAAACTTCTAGTTGTCTA